ATTACTTATTTTAATCCATTTCTTGTGGTTTTCTTATACCACATTTTTCATTATTAATTTAGTAAAAACAAACCCTAAAGTGAAATAGCCAATTGTATATTAACAACAGAGAACTCATAGATAATGGTATTTTCCATGCATCTTCATCTGAGTAAATTATATATATATATATATAAAATGATGTGTTTGTGTGCGTGTAAATTCTAATCAGAATCAGACAGAATGGGAAATATATGACAATTTGGAAAAAATTATTTACTTTGACATGTTTTGCCAATGAGGAGGCACAGTGGAGTAATGGATAGTGGCTTGGATTGAGGAATCAGAAAGCCGAGTTTGAATTCCAGTCAAATCCATTACATTCACTTACGTGCTAATACCCTTGGGAATCCTCCTCTTCTCCCTCCAGCTATGGGTAAATAGCAGGACAGACTGGGTTCTATAGCCTTGGATGGCAACTGGTCTAGGAGAAGGAAAAACTCTGAATTCAAAAACCTGCGGAGGGCCGTTTGGGGACCTTGTGTCATGTAGTGCACCAGGTCTCTGTATTCGGCCCTTCAAAAAGTGTGGATGGTCCTGCATGAAACCTTCACCACTATAATCAAATCTCATGTGCTATACATGCGGGTTTGGGTACCGCTTGTGAATTCCAAATTCCCATGAAACTCCAATATCGGAGCCAGCTCAACCCACCCTGGGTGAATGCCGTTACAGGTCCGGGGGGCGGGGGGGTGCCAATGATCCAGCATCACCAGAAAAAGAATTTTATTTCACAAGAACAAAATCTACATTAGTGAGACAAAATGTGATTCATATTAAGTAACTGAATTGTTATAGAAATTAGACTTTAACTAATTTATTTTTTTTATTTGATTTTTTTTTTTTTCTTGACTAGAAATTTGTGCCACATTTTCAGTGGCACAAATTCATGATCCCAATTTTGACTTGGAAAATAAGACTGCCTTTTCCTATTGCCCACCACTAACTTTTCCACTGCACTACCATACCTCCACTTGAGTAACTCCTCTTGCTCACCTCTAGCTTTACAAGAACCAGATCAAGCCAAAAATGGACTACTGCTGCCATATATGGGCTGTAGCTGCACAGTCTTCACTTTTCAATCTTAATAATTCAAAAGTATCTACACGGCCTTGTGGGGCATGAATTATTTTCCATCCTGCAACCCCTTTTCCACAGATGAAATGTTGCAAGCCTCTCACTACTATCACTAATTCCATGGAAAATGTTCAGATGAGCTACATTTCTAAATTCCAGCTAAGAAGACTCATCATTCCGTGGTAAACCACCCCTAATTCTCTTCATATTCCATTAGTGAGAAGTAATTTCTACTGGAAGAGCTTCTTCCCAAGAACAGTTACAAAGCCTTGTCTATCATGTTCAATAACATTTGCTTCAATGATATATTTCAGTGCACCTATACTTATCTTCATATACTTACATCTTTGCTTACATAAACAGAAAGGGGTGTAAGACAAGAATGTGTCTTCTCACCAGACTTATTCAATCTATACAGAAAAGCAAGTCCAAAAGAATTAGGACTCTTTATTGGCAGCCACAATCATATCATCAGATATGCAGATGACACAGTGTTGATACAACACACAGAGAAGAAATTACAGAAGATAGTAAAGGAAAGCAAGAAGAAAGGACTAAACATCAACTGTAAAAAGACAGAATATTGAGGATAACAAAATCAAGTAAGTACAAAAATTGAAATATCCATGAAGGGTTTTAACAAAAGACAGTGCAACACTGAAATTTGAAGGTGCATTAGGATAGCAAAAGAGGCCTTCCAAAGTTAAGTAAAGTATTAAGAAACAGGAAAATCTCATTAGAAACAAAGAAAAAAAGTACTGAACATGATATCAGTCCTCCTATATGGTAGAGAATGCTGAACAATCTCATCACTGATGAAGAGACTGGAAGTAACAGAAATGTGGTTCTACAGAAGGATGCTGAGAATACCATGGACTGAACATGTGAACAACAACAAAGTTTTAGAGAAAATGGAAACAAAAAGGACACTTATATTTAACATCAGAAAAAAGACAGTTGAAATTTCTAGGGTACATAATGTGGAAAGAGAGCTTAGAAAATTTGACACTCACATGACTGAAGTCAAGAGAGTCAAAGGAAAACCATGTATAACCTACCTTATGAGCGTGTGTAAATGGTTGTCAGAACAGGGTTTAAGAGAGATAGCAAAAGGACAAAATTTACTAACAAAGGACAGGAAAGTATGGAGAGCCATGAATGCCAACATCCTGAAGGATATGGTCATAGAATGAATGAATGAATGAGAGAAACAAAAAGGTATGCTTTTAGCCTACCTTTTTTGTATCTCTCATTCATTATATTTAAAATTTAAATTTCACATTATTTAAAAAAAAATCTCTTATCTACCATCAAGAAACAAGAGAAAGGGACTTTGGAAAAGAGAGATAAGAGACATTGTTGTCTTCCTTCTTAAACAAAAGAAACCCAAAAAGACAATATCCTCGGCTCATCTACTAATTCACTTTTTATGGTAACGATTTAGCTATGCTTATTAAATGATGAATTTAGATAAACATTTAATAATATAAGATAATGAGAAAAGTTTGAATAAAGTTCCCCAAAAAATAAAAAAATAATAGTGTGCATCAAAAGGACAATTTTTTCTCTTGACACTGTTCTTACAATACACTACCTTAGATAATGTTTATTGTTTTAAAAAGCTACATTTAGAACTTTCATAAAAATATAGTATATGAAACTGAATTTATACATTTCTGTCTCATTGTTATTAACCATAACTACCTCAAATTCTTGCTTTAATTTTCCAAGGGGTTCGCTATGGTTATAGTGTTAGGAAAAGTCTAAAAATAGCTTTTTAAAACAATAAAAATTACCAAGGGTGTATATGGTAATAGTGGTACCAAGAGAAAAACCATTATTTTGACCCTTTTTTTTTTTTGATTTCTTCTTTTTTTTAATTTCAACAGAAATAAAGTAACTTTTGAAAAGAAAAATGCAGAATAGAAAAAGAAGTTGAGAACGAAATGAGATAAAAGAACTAGCCAAAAATGAATAATAATTGACAATGCTTCATCAAAGAACTTCATAAAACTTAAGACTAATATTACTTGATGTAAAAATAAGAGAATTAAAATGAAAGAAATCAGACTCAAAAATGAATAATTAACAATGTTTTATCTAAGAATTTGAATGAATGGTTTTTTTACTCAAATGGCAACAAAATGAATAATTGCAGACAAAAAAATTTAAAAATGAAAGAGAAATAATTCTTCATTTTACTCACAAATGTAATGCATTCAAATTTGACAAAATTAATCCTCACATTTGGTCAAATAAATAACATTGCATGTATCAAAAGAAAAAAAGTATCCAAGAATTTTTTCATACACACTACAAGAATGACAATAATTTTTCACTGAAATATTGAGTTCAATCTAAAATCACTCAAGATAACAAAGCAATTACACCAATATATAACAAATGGCATTTAAGGATATGAGATTTCAAATTAGTGAAACAAACAAATTTGAAAAATAAATTACATTTTTGCTCATCAACTTTCCCATAATATTTGAATAAATTATTTCATTTATAACACAAATATTTTGAAAATTTTTAAAAATTTTTTTAAAAATATTTTTTTATTTCATCTTTTTGTAAGCAAGTAAAAAAAAAATATAGAGCAAAGATTTTTTTTAATTTACAAAAATTTAAAAATTAATAAATTCAATAAAAATTTCTAATTCTTTCATCAGTGACTAAATTTATGAAAAGCTGTACTGAAAGTTCTTTTAATTTAGACATGCACAATTAAATATAAAACTCAACAAAAAGTAATATGAAGTTGCATAATCAGGAAGCTTAGATATTATAAACCAAAATATTGATCTTTGAATTTAATAAGGGTAAGGGCATTTATTTTCTTACAATTAAGCAAATATTTATTTACATTATTCCGACTGTTATCCTCATCTTCATTGCCATATTCACAATGTTTTGGTCATTGTATGCTCCGGGCTTCTTTAGGTGATTGGAATTTTGAACCAAGCCTTTAATTTCGTCCACCAGTGTAAATTGTTCTAGTTCTGTGCCATGACTCTTCCGGATGTCTCAGTTATTTCCCTTTAACTCAACTCTACAAGTTTTTTGGTTCACTACTGCTGTAGCCTGGTATTGAACTCACAACTCTTTGGGTCTAGTCACTGGATGTAATCAACATCTTTATCCACTGGGCCATGTGTCCTCAAGGCAGTGGTGAACCAAAAATCTTGGAAAGTTGAGTTAATGGGAAATAACTGAGACATCCAGAAGAGGCATAGCACACGGAGCTAGAACAATCTACCCCAATGGACGAAATAAAGGGTTCAGTTCAAAATTCCAATCACCTGAAGAAGGCTGGAGCATGCAACAGCTGAAACATTGTGAATATAGCAATGAAGATGAAGATAACATTCCAAATAATGTAAATAACCTTATTTCAATATATTTTTAATGAAAAGTGCCATACAGTGTCAGCTTCTCTGAGCATACCTACTTTAAAAGAAATAATTTTATTTGGATTACAATGCCAGTTGAGACAAGAAAAATTCTACCCACAAAAATGACTTTTTCATTAAACATGTTACTAAATTCTTTCAAACTTCAATTTTGCATTAATCTTACCAAATAGAGCAAATGATTGAAACAAAATACAAAATTTTGTATTTTGATATTGAGTATTTCACAATGTAGTCTCAAAATAGTTTTAAAAAAATGCATTATACAAGAATTTCTGTAAGCATTAAAATAATAACAATACTGATGCAAAAAAAATAAAAATAAATAACTTGAGGATGTTTTTAGCTTATCAAAATCAGAAATCTTAAAATATCAAACTGATCCAGATGACAAGACATTATGAGAAGGAAAAAAAGTGTGTGTGTGTGAGGGGGGGGGTGTTCAGGTTGACCAAAAATTCTCACCTTTATAACTCCTCCTCCTGGTGAATGTTTAAGATTATCTTTTGATCCAACTTTAGCTTCCACTTTCCATTCCAATTTTTGCTCTTCAATCTAAGCAATGAAAAAATGAGGAGAAAGATAAAAGAAATTATTTAAAGAAGAAAAAAAAGATTATCTTTAGCAAAGAAAGAAAAATATTTGAAGTTTAAAAATACCTCTCTTTCTGTAGACAGTCTTTATTAAATAAATAAAATGATTTTGAACTTTTTAATGTTCAAGTCAATTTTACTTCATAATTGATTGATTTTTGGACTCAATATAAATATACATTGCTGTTAAGTAAAATATAAGCTAAAGAAAAGATGTGAAATTTGTTGTTACAGCCTCAAATGTGAACTGCATTATAATTTGGTAAATGGATGACAAATTTGCTGACTCAACAGCAAAGCAAATGAGATCAAAAATATCCATCAAATTAATTTTGGAAATATCAGAAAGCCAGTACCAGACACAAGAAATTTAGGGAAACAGACAAACCAGAGTGCCCAAAAACAAATTGTGTACATATAACAAAAAAATTACACGTTGAACATGTACTGTACACAATAATATAGAATATTTCTTGCAAAAACATTATAGAAACCAAATTTCACAAGACACAAAAAGCTCTTTACTATTTAAAGATAAGCATTTTGTAGCATTAAGAGTAAAAAAGAATGAAAAAGAAAAAATAAGGTGAACAAATTGAGAAAAAGGACAGCAATAAAGGTAAGTAAAGAGAATAAAAATGTATATATTAACACTGTCCTATAACAGCTGTTACATTTGCATATACATTTCACACACTAAATGTAACAGTTATTATGCAACAAAAGTAATCTAATACTTTCCATAGATTTCTAAAAATGTAATATCTGCATTTTAATGCCATATCTTTACTTTCAGCAAATATATTTTGCATTTTTCTGAAAAATAACTGAGTAGCATTTATTATTTGAGAGAATTTTCTTTAAAAGAGAAATCAATGGGCACTCTGAAAATAATCGTTTCCATTTCATAAATACAGAAAATCACATTGATTGTTCTTCTTTTATATTAATTCCAAATTTTAACAAGGCTGCAATTCACAACTCATTTTAAACATATTTTAAAAATAAAAAAAACGTAAACTTTAAAAATACATTGGAAAAAATAATTGAATTAATACTGTTGAATCTTTTCAATAATTACAAAGAAGACCATTCTCCAATCTAAAACAAGAACACAAGACAATTTTGACTTAAACACAACACTAAAAGTGATGCCATCTGTAGAATTTCAAGTAGAGATTCTGACTATTGACGACTAATAGTCAAATCAGTCAAATTAGTCGACCCTACTCACCTTCTTATCCCCACCACCTGGTTTGTGAAATAGATTATCCTTTGAGCCAACTTTAGACTGGACATTCCACTCCACCTTCTCATCCAAAATCTGATTTGGAAAGGCAAATTAGAAAAAAAAGACCCAGAATGACATTGGTTCTTTTCAATAAAAATTGTTGAATGAATTACTTGGAATATTGGAGGTGCCAATTCAAAGTATCCCACAAGCCTTTCATTCAAACAGATTATTGCATATATGATGATGGATAAAAGAAGTAAATAATTATTACATCTTTTTTAATACTCATTTTATTACTTTATCAGGCAGCAAACTTAATTCTTTGTTCAAACTGTAAATGGAGAATTTATTTTACTCTTCATATGAGCAATGCATTTCATTTAATTTCAGACACGTTGATGAAGCAAATCAATTAATAATTTAAAATTATTGAATATTAGAATCAGTGTCCATCATTATTCAAAATTAATGAGTTCAACAAGTTTATCATTTTTATACATGAAAACATTGACTCAGATGAAACACATTCTAATATTGCATGCTTCAGGGGAGATAATCTACTCACAAATCAAAAGAACAGACTGCTTGGAGCAAGCATGTCAATAAATAAGGAAAAAAAAAATTCTTTCATTTTGGTCGGCTTACCTCCTCCTAATTAATCCATACCTGTCTGGTGTCAACTTAAAATGAGACCCTTTTTTTACTTTTTTTTTTTTTTTATTTGCATATCTAAATTGTAATTTTGGAAATGGAAAATTTCCAAGTTTTCAGTTGAAATCAAGAAATTACAAACTTTAAGCAAAATGGTCACACAGGCAGTGTCAGTTTAAAGTGACACCAGGCAGATATGGGTTAAGATTGATTCCCATTTGATGCAAAAATGACACGCACACAAAACATGCTGCCAAATATTATTTTATATAAATTATTATATTTTTGATTCAGTAACTGATTTGATTATACAAAATAATTAGACACATGTTTGTATATGTAAGTAGGTACATCAATAAGTCAGTAGCTTAATGATGATAAAAAAAAAGCATTTAATTTACACAACAAATATTTTTCAATATCATCATTTGTTCTCAATGCACTTAATTCAATGGTGAATAGAGGCCACAGTTGTCAAACAAGGTTAGGCTACACCTTAAATGGTTACCCCCACTTTCACATCATGAAAATGATGTGAAGTAATTATTGTGTGCAAATTTTTAATCTCATCCGAATTAAAGCAGGCCTCCCTTCCCCCCACACACACGCAAAACACTAGTGATCAGTCTGGGTGAATATTAATCACACAGATTGGCCCTTATGCAGTAAATATTTTAAATTAAAATTCAGTTAATAAGTGCATGTGAGGCTACAGACTTATTTATCTGATATTGTACAGAAAAAAGGTTATCTCCACCTAACCAAAAAAGGAAAATAAAAATAAGAATATACAAAAAAATGTTGAACACTTGAGTTTTTTTATATATATATATAGAAGTTGATATCACTCGGAAATCAGTAAAAGCATATCCGAATTGGTCATTTTAATGATTTTATTTTGCCAAATGGAAATCAAACTTTATTGGTACATTAATATGTGGTAAAGGTTTTTGTAGAAAACAAATAGGTCACATGCTCACCTACAAATACAAATTTAAAAAAAAATGAAAGAACAATAAGGATAAAAATAAGAGTAAAGTTGTGTAATACCAACTGTCCCATAATAGTTGTTACATTTATCGTATGAAATGTGTATGCAGATTAGACAACAATTATGGGACAGAGGTACTAAAAAGAAGAACAAAAAACTCTGTTCCATAATAGTTGTTACATTTAATGTACGATACAAATGTGACAACTACAAGGGGGTGCTGAAAAGTTCTCTGCAGAAAAAAGAGAATGATCTAGAGCCATGACATAAACATAATGTCCAGAAACAAAAATAACATGTGAAAGTGCCATGAGGTAAGTTAATTTTTCTTTAACAACTTTCAGTCAAAATTACTGCCCTTTTACAAACAAGTGCTTATCATAGAGAACCCTTTTAACTATCGCTACCAATATGTTCTTCATATAGAATACAAAATCAATACACTATTGTCTACATTATCATTTTGTTACTCTCTATGCTCCTGTTACAATATTTAATAAAATTTACAATTTTTTTCAATAAAACTCAGCCAAAGAAAACTATTTTTAAATAATGGGTACAGTTGCAAAAGAAGAGATGACACACCTATTTACTCAATGATCAATTTAATTTGGTCAAATTGGCAGCTGATGTCAAAAATCACCTACAATCTGTTAACTGGGTCAAGAAGTGGCCTGTTAATGGTAATGCCTCAAAACAAAACTGCTCTCTTCAAATTGCCAGAGAAAACCTTTTTTTTTTTTATCTTCTATCAGCATGGCTAATGCTAACCTCTCAGGCTAACATTTTCTGCTGACATGAGGTGGAAAGATTATATTGAATCAGTTGCTACGCCTGCAGCTAAGAAAAATAGTCCACTGTGTTGTGCTAGACAATTTTTCTCTCCAGAATTTGTCTTACACATTTATAAATCTGCCATTCGTCCACACATTGAATATTGTTACTGCATCTGATCTGGTGCTTCTGCTACGTACTTAGATTCTTGATAAAATACAAAGAATCTGTAATGTTATTGATCCTGACCTGGCGTCTCAGCTTTAGTCAATAGCTTCCCTATGCCTTTTCCATAGATATTTTATGGTAATTGGTTTGATGAACTTTTCACTATAGTACCTAGACTTTATGAATTTAAGCAGTCCTAGATTGGTGTCAAGGCCTCGTTATTTTACCTTTGAAATGGCTAGATGCAACCGCAAGTTCTATGCTTCTTATGTTCCCATAAACTTTGATCTTCAAAAATTTAAATGCAATGCCAATCATTATCTTCTGTCTTCTTAGTTCCCATTCTGTCCTTATATTCCCTCACACTCAGTAACACCATGCATCTTAGTGGCTTTATTGCCTTGTTTGGAATGAAAAGATTAAAAAAATCAAACAAACTAAGATTGATGTAACATTCCACAGTCAGTTGTGTGAACATTACAACAGAGCAAATAAAAACAGTTGCAGAGTCTTTGGATGAGATCCTTAGATAAGCTTCAATCTTTACAATTTTAAATTAATATTTTTGTGTGTAGTTTCTGGTAACCAATTTTATACTAATAGAAGTGTAGAGGAAAAGAATTATTATTATATAATCATAATAATAATAATGAAATAATATTTATAGGCATTCTTATACAAAAGAATCTACAAACTGTGTTCTTAATATGGGAAAAAATGATATATAAACTTTTATATTCCCAAATCAATGACAAAGTGGAAAACATTTTTCATGATGTGTTTCATCTTTTGCATCACATGACAAATATTTTCTACTTTGTCATTATTGAATACCCACCAATTTATAAAGAAAAGATTAAGAATAAAATTTGTTCTTTCATGAGTATTCCAAGATAGCAAGATTATAAAAAAAAGTTGTCTATAACATTGAAATGAATCATTAACATATCAAACCTGTTTGGATGCTCAAATCACTTTGTATAATTGTTAAAACTATAACTTTGGAAAGAGTCATTAACATGTGGAACTGTTCGGATAAAAAAAACAAGCAGTGTTCCTTAATGTTCCATTGGAAGAGTTATTTTCACAGCAATCAGGTGCAACACATGACCAAGTTATTGCAAACTCTACAATGCCTATTTCG